GTATACAATACGGGTTTTTAGGAAGAATAAATGATTCATCGTGTTCTGGATTCGCGCTTTTCTATTTTAAACGACGTGAGTGGCGTTGAGTGGCATTGGCTTGCATCTTGTAGACAGGAAATCAGACATTTATTCATTTTGATCTTGCAGTTTCCGCTGAGTGTTCTGTGGTCGATTCGCTTATGATTTTGGGTTTCCAGTATCTGCCATGGGGACAGGGCCGGGGGGACCAGGCAACTTCAGAGACTCCATTTTCCCATAAGCAAAATAAGAATGGTTCAGGAAATAATATGTGGAGACATAAAGAGAGGGATGGGAAGGGAGGGAGAATGAAAAGCAAATGGGGCCCAGCCTGGTAGCGAGGCAGTTGAGCACTGTGAATAGGGAGCCAGATCCGACATAGCCGACCATGTGGTTTGAGTCCCAGACCCAGCAGCTTGAAAAATCATACCTCAGTGGGTTGTGCTCTACACCAGACGTGATCCTGGCTGGCTGAGGCTGGCAGCAGATGGTGGCATGAAGACCCTGCTAATGGTATCCCCCATCTCTCTCTCTTCCTCATATTAATTGTAATTAAGAAAAAAAAGTTTGCACTCTCTACCACCAGGCAGCCAGCTCTAAAATGTGGAGGTGTTGGTGCTTCCTAACCATTCCAGAAGCTCATGCTAACAGCTGGCCCCGGGGAGGGAGGAGCAGGTGGGGGCTGGCTCGGTCACCAGGCATTTGCAGTGTGGGTTGGTTCAGGGTTGGAGCCGCAGCGACAGCAGTCCTGGGATGGACTCGGACATGCACGTGGCTAAATGGAAAGGTGGTGTGCTTGGAGAGGGGCTGGGAGCGTTGGCCAAGCACAGATCTGCCCAGCAGAAGGGGAGTCAGCTTCCTCAGGGAGATGGGCAGAGAAAGGACAACCCCGGGAGGAGGGGACACCCTCCTCCCAGGGCCAGGTTTCCACAGATGATCAGATGGTTTCCAAATGGCGGGGCACAGGCAGGGGGGGCAGCTCGGGCAACGGTGCCGGGGCTTTAAATTGCATGATGGGCTCAGAGTAGGAGGGAAGAGGTGGGCCAGGCAGCTGGAGAGATGGCGGGCATGTCGTCCCAAGAAATGGCGGGCATGTCGTCCCAAGAAATCCGAGTGTGTGTGTGTGTGTGTGTGTGTGTGTGTGTGTGTGTGTGGATGTGGAGTGGGGATCACAAAGTGCCCTGGACACTGGGAGGTTGGATCAGCACTTCAGGACTTGCTGTGTGGCTTTGGGTGGTTGCTAACCTTCTCTGAGTGGGGGGTTGCTAACCTTCTCTGAGCCTCTGTTTGCCTCCCTGGAAAATTGAAGCTTTTCTAGAACCAAGTTCCATGAAGCCAGGGATCACATGAGAGTTTGGGAATAGCTGAGGCCACAGACCAGCCCTGAGTTCTGAGTTCCTCCCATCCCAGTCAGCCTCCAGGGTGCAGGAGAAATGGACCAGGACAACCCCGCCAGGCCCTTTCAGCCCTCCCAGGCATCCAGGGCGGTCTCACCACTCCCAGAGTGAAAAACTGCTTCTCCCAGGGGGTTACTGGGCAAGGGCCCCCAGGGCTCACAGGAGCAGTGGGCCTTGTCCCCCCCTCCTACCTGAAAAGCCCTTCCACCAGCCTCCAGTTGGGCCCTCCTCACTCCACATCCCCGTAGTGTCGAGGAGTAGGGTATTAACCGTTCCCATCCTGGAAGAAAGCCCAGGCCTGACTGCTCACTCCACGCCCAGCACCTTGTGTAGGGACCGTGTGGTCCCTCCGTCCAGCCTGAGTGCCTTCCCCGCTAATTGAGGGGTTCTATGAAAGCATCACATCTTATCCAAAATGGGGAGGCTTATGCCAGCCCTGCAGCCTGGTGGTTAAGGGAGCTAGATCTCCCCATGGCTGCAATGCCGTTCAAATCCCAGCCCCGGTGGTTTGCAGAACACGTTGGCACACATGTGTTCATGCACGCCCAAATCCTGACAGGGTGGCGAAATGGAGAAGGGAAGTGGGGCACGGCCATGCCCTTTGGAGGGTGCTTCCTTCCTCTCTCCGTCTCTTTCTCTGGTGAGCACAGACAGCTTCTGGTGAGCAAAAAGAAGAGAAAGAAAAAAAATGGGGCGTCTCCAGCAGGCCAGCTTCACGAGGGCACGGCATGGCCACCTTGCTCACCGGCCTGTGCCAGGCACAGAGAAGGTGCTTGGTAACTATTTGTTGAGCATGAATGAGGCAGCGAAGATTAACAACTCGCTCGAGGAGGCATAGCCAGACCTTTGGCTAACACATAGCTCTCGTTCTGTGTGACCTGCCCAGAAGAGTCCAAAATAGGCCAGTGTGGGTGGACAGAGGACCCTTCATGCCACAGGAAGTAGCTCTGAAGGCTCCCTTTGGCCTGGGAGCTTTCCAGGCGAGGCTGGTTTAGCCACCTGATGGTAAGGGAGGTCAAGGAAGTCGTTGAGCTTTAACTAGCATGTTAGGAACCCACAGGCACTAAAGGTCAACCAGAAATCGATACCAAAGGTTTGGGAATTAAAAACAAACAAACAAAACCCCCAAAAAACGTGTTTCTGAGAGAGAGAAAGGAAGAGTCACTCCTTACAGGCTCTTCATGTCCTGATCCACTCGGGTGTCAGCCAGCCCGGGTGACAGACACACACGTGTGTAGAGAGGCCCTCGGCGGCAAACCAGGGACACCCCCCTCCCCACGTGGGTCCCCGTCATGCTATCGCAACACGGTCATCTGGTTTGGCATTTGGGAATTAATGTCAGCTCTGTCTACACTGGGATCAGCCAACACTGAGACGGAGGAGTGGCCAACCCGAACCAGCCCTCAGCTCTCCTAGGCCAATGGGCAGACGTTTATGGAGCCTGAAGTGGATGGAAAAGGATGGACGGATCTCAGATTTCTTTTAACACAGAGCTCGGGAATCCAGAGCCAACCAGTTAGAGCCGGGCACAAGGGGCAGCTCAGTCTTCCATCCTGACTGTGCGGGGTGTCCACACACCACCCTCTCCAGCCCCAGTTCCCCTCCCACCCCACGGCAGGCCTCAGATTTTAGGTTTTATTTATATTTTTTGTTTTTGCTAGAGGTGCACGCGCTTGCCTGAGACAGAGAGAGAGGGAAAGTGGGGGAGGGTCTCATTACAATCCCGTCTCCATCTTCTCCCCCTCTCAGGATTTTGGGCATGCATGCACACATGTGCCTAGCATGTTTTTCAAGCTGCCAGGTCTGGCACTCAAACTATGCAGTTGGCCATCTGAGATCCAGCACCCTAACCACCACACCACAGCTGGCCCTAGAATCCTGTTGTTAAAAAGCAAAAACAAGGGACCAGCAGATGGCATAATGGTTACTTTGCTAGACTCCTACATAGTCGACCGTGGTTCGAGTCCCGGACCTGGCAACTTAAAACTCATGTCAGGTGCACATACACGTGTGCCCAAGATCTCGAGAAGAGAACGGAGGAGAAGGGATTGCAGCATGACCATCCCTGCTGGGGGGGGAGGGTGATTTCTTGTTTTCTGTCTCTGTCTCTCTGAGCGCACATGCCCTATAGCAAAAAATAAAAATAAAATAAAAAGCAAAAACAAAAAGCAAATGAGTAAGTGCTTTTCATTCCAAGGAAAGAAGAGCCAGACTTTTCAGCCACGTTCAAAAGGATGGCCAAGGGTTTGGATGGGCCAGCGGCCACCTGGTGGCCACAGGTCCACCGCCCCCTCCCCACCTGCAGGGCTGCACTATCCCACCTCTACCCCAGGTGCCCAAGGGCCTGCTGACCCCAAACATGGCCTCTTCCCCTGCCAGGTGTGACTCCCAACTGAATAACCCAAGCCTCGTTACAGCCTCCGGTCAGTCCCAGCAGCAACATCCAGTTCCAAGCAGGACACAGCAGTTTCTGTAAACCCATCCTGAGCTAGATTTGCCAGATCCCCTTCTAGGACACCCTAGGTGTGCTGGGTCTTCCTCTTCCTCCTCTCCCTCCTCCCCTTCCTCTTTGTCCTTCTTCTTCTCTCCCTCCTCCCCTTCTTTTATGTCTCCCCTTCTGACTCTAGGAAGCTGTGCAATCTTGGGTAAGGGACTTAGCCTCTCTGTGCTCTAAGTTATTATGTGTGAAATGCAAGCATTAGAGAAGATGGTCCCTCAGTGTGAATCTCACTGGGCGAAGGGGTTGGGGACAGTGGGGAGATGAAAGTGAGGCTCTAAGCTAGCCACATAATAAAGGACAGGTCCTCACCTACCCAAAGCATTGGGGCCTTTGGGGGCCCAGAAAAACACAGATTTCCCTCCCTCTCTCCACCCCTCTTCCCTTCTTTATTATCTTCTTCTCTCCTCTCCCCTCCCCTTCCCTTTTTCTTTCTACCGATGTTATTTTAGGCGGTCTTGGCTCCAGAATCACAGACCCGAGTCCAGTCACGGCTCCGTCAGCATGAGCCCGGTGCCCTGGGCAGAACGGCTTCCGCTCTGCGATCCCAGCTTCCTCATCTGTAAAGGGCGAGGGACACCCTTGCTGTTGTGGGTGGCTCCCAGCGGGCACTCTGGGGAAGCACGCGGCATCCTTGTGCAGAGTGGGCACTTCTGTTATTTGGTTTCTCTGGAGGCTGTGAAGGGCTCTGCGGCCAGACTGCCCGGTTGGAAGCAGGTCTGCCACCTTCCAGCCGTGTGGTCTCTGGCGAGTGATTCGCCCTTACTGCACCCCAATTTCCTCATTGGTAAAGGGGAGTGGTGACAATGCCTACTTCCACTTGTGGGGACACAGTGCCAGGTGCTGGCTTTGGGCTGTTTAGACCATTCCACTGGGATGGTGGTGCTGGACTGGTGAGCTGGGCCTTACGGGGAGCCGGGGACCATCGGGTCACGCAGAGGCAGGACCAGCATCCAGGTTGTACAAAGGGCTGGGGTGAGGGCAGCTCAGAGAGGCCGGGACAGCCAGCAGCCAAAGATCCAGGAGGGGCAGATGCACCCGCCGGAGGCCGGGCCGTGTATGCGCTCCCGGTTTGCGCTCAGACAGCGGGCCTGGCAGGTCGTCCTTAGCAGCCCTTGCCACCCAGAAGTGCAGTTCCAGTGGGCAGGAGCAGCCTCCCCTGGCGCCCCCCACTCCTCGCAGCTGGCCGCTCCCGCCCTCGGTCAGCCCAATTTCCTGCCCCTCCTTCCTTCTCTCCTCCCTCCAGCTGTTTCTCAGGCAGAGTCTGGTCCTTGTCCCGTGCAGGGCAGCAGCCCGGGAGAGTGGAGAGCTCAGAGCTCAGGGCAGAGCGAGGGCTTTGGGCTTCATGGGGAGCTGCTCGAGGGAGGAGGGTGTTCTAGGGGACTGCACTCTGGGGGGGCTGGGGGATCTTGAAAGAATGAATGAACTGCTTTCTGGGTGAGCAGCCACAGCCAGAGGAACGGTGTGATCTGTGATCAAAAGAGACTCCAGGAAGCGCGAGCCACCAGGAGGACCAGAGCCCTCAGGAAGACCTCTGGGCAGAGGCGGCGAGAAGGTACCACTTGGCTTTGAGGCTTCCAGAGGGGCCAGGGCACAGGGGCGCTAGACAGAGAAGGCCAGTTCTTCCCATGACTTCATTCACGTCATTACTTCTGGAGCTCGGAAGCTGTGCATGTGAAGTGTAAGACATGGCCAGGACCCAGTAGTTTTAAAACAGCAGACGCTGCATGTTCTTCCAACTCGGGTCATGCTCGCGGCCCCTCTAGCAGGCAAGTTCTACCCTCATGCTTGTTTTGCAGATGGGAGCTGAGGCTCAGAGAGGAGGAGGGGTCGGTTCAGGGCTGCAGACAGGAAGCCCGGCTGCTGAGACTGGGATGGAGGGGGTCTCTACAGCCCACCTTCCTCCCTTGGAACTCTGAGAAGTGAATGAATGAGGAAACCCTAACCCAGAAGTCGCCCTTTCAGGTCCCTTTCTCTCTCTGTCTCTCTCACTCACGGAAGAATTTATCTCATGGTTTTTGTGTGCCTACAACACGCCGGACATGTCTATGTATGTGACGTATGCAAATGTGACACATGCACACATTTTATCAGCGTCTAGCTCGATAACCTATTTCATCCTTAGTGCTCAGCAATTCCTGAGCGCTCTCCCCTACTAGGCATGCTCCTCCAGTACGCGCTTTAACGGTTGCGTGGACGTGGTGTGCTGGTGTTTAACGAACTCTTCCCCTTTGTACTGCGTCCGCTGTTTTCATTGTTCTAAACAGTGCTGCGATAAGGCTGTACTGCAGCATTATTATTATTATTATTATTATTATTATTTGTTCTATGGATGCCTATTCAGCAGTGAAGTTGCTGGGTCACAGGGGTGCCTCTTTTTAGGGTGGATGAACCCAGGGGCTGCATCCCTTCCTGGAAGCTGTGGCAGCTTGCCCTATTCATGGTGTGATGTTGGGGGTCCTGTATTCTCACAGCCTCCTCCACATTGTTGCTACCAATGACCTTAACACCTTCCTTGATGAGAACTTGAGAATATTACCAAGGACGCTTTCATTTACATTTCTTTATTAATGTTGATTATCTTTTATAAACTTATTATTCACTTACTGGTGTTTATTTATTTATTTTTTTTGCCAGAGGGTGTGTGCACTTGCCAGAGAGACAGAGAGACAGAAAGAGAAGAAAACACCCTCCAATGGGGAATGGTCAGGCTGCAATCCCTTCTCCTCCATTTTCCCCTCCTTTGGGACTTTGGACCTGCAGGCACATGGTTCTGGCATGTTTTTCAGGCTGCCGGGTCTAGGACTTGAACTATGTGTTGGCCATGTGGGATCCAGTTGCCTAACCAGCATGCCATGGGCTAGCTCTTCACCTCCTTTATTATTTTCTAAGATGTAAATTAGGGATCAGCAGGTGGAGTGATGGTTAAGGTGCTGGGCTCCCGCATGGTCCGCCACTGGTGTGGTTCAAATCCCGAACCTGGTGGCTTGCTTTCTCACTTTATCTCTCTTTCTCTCTCTGGTCAATTAAATAAATAAATGAATTAAATTGAATGAATAATTCTTTAAAAGTGTAAACTAACAGCATTTATTTTGATAGAAATTGGTAAGCTCATAAGTGAGAACCCACACTTCTTTAAAAATAGTACTTTATAGACTCTCTTAACTATATCATAATATTTTATTTTTGAAGTACTGTAAGTACTGTTGGAAATTAACGATACTGAGAATAATAATAATAAAAAGAAACGTGCCTATCTATATTTAGTTCCATGCCAAATCTGAGTCGTGGATTCTTGCCGTTACAATAAATCTTCCTATTCTTCCAACATTATGCTTTTCGTTCTGAGTAATGCTTAGAAATAACAGTTCTAGTTTACTTTTAGCCGATGACTTCTGATTTTAGAATGTTTAAGCTTGGTTCATTCTTCAGGCAACTGAAATGCTCACTTTTCTTGTGACCATCCCGTTAGAGTCTGTGCCTGGTGCCCCCTGCCCCTTGCCCCCCACTGTCCGTTGTCATGTTTACCTTTTTCTTATTGATACTTAGGTGCTCTTTGTATATGAAGGCTAGGAATCCTTTGCCAGTGCTCTTTGTTGAAAACAATTCTATTCCCATCTCTGCTTTAAGACCTGCACACTGTAAATGAGCAAGCCAACCAACCCAGTTTGGGGTAAAATTAGAAACAAACAACACATTGCAATTGAATAACTGCTACTTGGTGGAAGTCTGCTCGCTGAGACCCACACAGTTCCAGGCGGCCCGATCCCTGGTCTGAGGTCATATAGTGAGGAAGTGGCCAGGTCCTGGCTGCCTTCTCTTTCCGTTAAGGAAAACCCCAGCTTCCCGTTTTGCACCCCCTGCCTCCTTTTCAAGCCCCTTCTCTGTGGTTCTTGCTGTCTCTCCTGTGTCTTCCGCATGAACTCCAAGGAGGGACCCTCCAATGCTCCCATGCAGTGGCTGCAGTGAATCCAGGCCTCCGGTGCATAATGCATTTTTGCAGGTGAATCTGGGCCTCCGGTGCAGAAGGGGGTGCTTGGCATTTTCTGAAGAAAGAAAGTTTAACCCAAGACAGAGATGCTTAAATGGTGGGGAGTCAGGACTTGGGAGGTCCATCGGAGGATTGATTTCTAGCTTCACAGCAGCCTTCTCTGGACTTCCCCCAAACTTCAGAGAATAGATAGATGTGACTTTGGGCCTATCTATTCATCTTTCTGGCTTGACTCCGAGAAGTCCCCAACCTTACTGAGTCAAGGCCTGACCTCTGGGCTCCCTCAGGCTGCACATCTCTGGCTGTAGTTCCTACCACGTGACATTGTAATATTTGCTAGCCTGGGGGCTCCCGGAGGCCAGAGCTGGGGTGTTATTCTCTTTGTATCCCCAGCCCCCTGCACAGAAACCTGAATACATGAAGTTTATTGAACGAATAAAGGAATCAGGCCTCAGTTTCACCAACTGGGGCAGGGGGAGTTGAACTCGGATCCCCTCTCAGTTTGCAAACCACTTTATTTATTTATTTGGAGAAGTGTTTGTTATAGGGCGCATGTGCTCACCAGAAAGACAGAGAGAGACAGAAAGTGAGAAATCACCCCCAGGGAGGATGGCCACACCACAATCCCTTCTCCTCCATTCTCCTCTTGGGATCTTGGGCACGCATGCACGCGCATGCGTGCGCGCGCGCACACACACACGCACGCCCAGTGTGAGTTTTAAGCCACCAGGTCTGGGTCTCAAGCTGTGGTTGACGAAATGGGAGTCCAGCAACATAGCCATTATGCCAACTGCTGGTCCCAGCAAACCACTTTATTAAGATGGTTAACTCGACCTCCTTGCCTTGGCTGTACATAAAGGTACTACTAACAGGTATTGTTTACAGAGTAGGAGACGGAGGCCTGGGCCAGGGCTTTGAAGCTGTGGAACTGACAGATAATCAGATGCTCGGGCTGCAGGGCTGGGTTTGAACCCGTCTGCCTCTACCAGCTGAGTAGCACCGTGAGTCCTTACAATTGTGCCCTGGTTTTCTCATCTATCAAATGGGACTATGGTCAGGGACTACCCCCTAGAGTTACTCTAATGAGTAAATGAGATCTTACAGGTAAAGCCCTGAGCTATACGGTCCTGTAGTGAGAGTTCTAGAAACATCAGTTATCTCTCTGATCATCTCTCTACCACCATGCCTTCTGCACCCGACACCCACCTGAGCCAAATGGAGCTGATCGATTTCTCTTCAGTGGATTATTAATGCCTGGCTTCCTGCCGCTGCAAGAGAAAACCAAGAGTCTATTTCATTGTCTTTGAATTTCACTGCATGGGTGCGGCCATTACTGCCCCATTGCAAAGCATCACGGCAAACTCAGAGCTTCTCAAAGTGCAGTCCCTGAACCACCTGCACAGAATAATCGTGGGTGTTTCTGGTATTTCTTTTCTTCCTTTAAGAGAGGGAGAGAGAAAAAGAAAGAGAGGGAAAGGGATGGAGGGATAGACATCTTCGACAGGTTCTCGCTGTGTTGTGATTTTCCTGACCTAGCCTCCCAGCCAGCCAGGGTTATAGGCATGCTCAGCTCCATCTGGCGTGCTCAGGTTGGCATGCTCAGGAACAGAACCAGGCCTCCCATGTGGCCCCAGCCCGCAGAGCACAGCCTCATGGCCGTACATGCCACCATGGCTGGGCTTCTTTTTCCCTTTCTAAGCAAATATGCAGATACTTCTGAGAATCCACATGTCATGTGTCAGCAATTGAGGCCAGGAGGCTTTAGTGGAGAAGTGAAACTTTGTCTTCTAGTACCACAGAAAGTCGGATCGTGTTAGCAGTCTCCCAGTGTGAGGGCTTTGACATTATTTTAAGCCACAGAATCCTTTCCTCAAATGAAAGTACGCGGGGAGGCGCATTGTGGAGAGCGACAGAAGTGCTGGCATGCTCGTTGACACAGAGGGGAGGACGCCAGACTGAAGCTCACCAAACCTCACTCTGTTGAAGGACCTCTAGGAATCCTTGTAGGTTGGGGGGGCAGGCTGAACCCTGCAAATCTACTTCAAGGAGTTAAGAGACCCAAGTTCTACAGGCCAGCCATGACAGCACAGTGATACATAACACTCCATGATGCGGAGGTCAGTTGGGAAGGTTCCAGGTTCACATCCTGGCATCTCCCTGTACGTGCTGGGTGTGCATGTCTGTGATAGTGGCTAGCTAAGGTTTAGAGAGGATCATGATGTGAGGAACCTATTGGAAGTGTTTTTTTTTCTCTCTCTCTCTCATGGGGAAAATAAGTAAATAAACTGTGTGAGAGAGCGAGAGCTATCACAGTTCTAGACCTTAGTTGAACTTGCTGTGTGACCTCAGCCTAGGTACTCCCACTCTCTGGCCGTAATTGTATCATCTGCAAACTAGGAGGTTGAGTGTTGTATTAGTTAGGGTAGGAGCTGCAGTAACAAATAGGCCCCCAAATGTATAATGACTCACACGAAACAGTTTTACAGAGAGCCGGTGTTTCTGAGAGGAGAGTGGTTTTCTCCCTCGGAGTAATTTAGTGACCCATCCTGTGACCCCCACTTCTT